TCCTTTTGGCTGTTACAAAAGTTCTCTAAGAAATTGCTGCCTGATGATTGTTGTCGGTCTCAGAGCCCTGTCAAAGCAGCTACTTGTACATCTTGGGAAACTGGGTTTCACAAGTGCTGGAAAGACAAAACCACTCCCTTTTGGGTGCTTAGGCACATAACTCCCATCTTTGAAAATGCAAACAGCCTCGAGAAACTTGTGAACCATGAGGCGGCTGCTGCTGTGTTCGTGGGAGCCCACACCTTGTTTGTGGGAAATAATGACCGGAGTAGCCTGCTAAGGCCCACAGCACAAGAGGGATGTGGAGCTGCTGGAGAGAGTCCAGCGCAGGGCCACAAGGATGATCAGGGGCCTGGAACATCTGCCCTATGAGGAGAGGCTGAGGGAGCTGGGCCTGTTCAGCCTGGAGAAGAGAAGGCTGAGAGGGGACCTGAGCAGTGTCTATAAGTACCTCAAGGGACGCAGTGAGGAGGATGGTGCTGGCCTCTTTTCACTGGTGGCCACAAACTGAAGCATCAAAAGGCCCACAGGAAGTTAAGGAAAAATTTCTTCACAGTGAGGGTGCCAGAGCACTGGCACAGGCTGCCCAGAGAGGTTGTGGAGTCTCCTTCCCTGGAGATCTTCAAAACCCACCTGGATGCCACCCTGTGCCACGTGCTCTAGGTGTCCCTGCGTGTGCAGGGAGGTTGGACTAGATGATCTCTAGAGGTCCTTGCCAACCTTAAGCATTCTGTGATTCTATGATTATTCCTCTTCCTTTCCAGTAGAAGCGTGTGCATGTGCAAGCCTTTGTGTCCTTCAGAGGAAGATCACTTAGGTTGAGAGGGTGCTTGAGACTTTAGGAGTATTGACTCTTGGCATCATAGCAAAGGTTCTGGACAGTTGTAGAACTGCACACCTCCAGGTGTCTGTAAAAAGAGTCATTTAAAACAGATGTCCTTACATTAATGGGGTCTAGTCTTTCACCTGCTGACTTTAAGGAGTGCTCAGGTGCCACCTTTTTATTCATCTCTACCCAGTATTGTAACAAGTGCAAGTCATTTACCCTCCCCAGCCCTGTTCTGTTGTCTGCATCTATTAGTGTTTGGCTTAATTCCTGCTTGATACTAATGTCAGATGCAAGGCTTGTCATAACAAAATGAGCAGTAATAAAACCTACTTTTAGGCCAAAACTGGAGATCTTTCTTGTGGCTGAGTATTTACTTAAGTGAACAACAAAAAAAAAAAAAAAAAAGTCCAAGAAGCCTCAAAAGCTCGCGACAAACAAACTTCAGGACCGTGAAAAGAAGTTCCAGCCCGCATGAGTGACCAGAGTTGTTCTAATATGGTCCTGGGAGGGGAGACAGCAGTAGCAATTGCTATTTTGATATGATAAACTACTTATTTAAAATTATTTATTTTTGGAATTTCTTATAAAATTAAGAATAGTTATGAGCCGGTATCGAGAGGCAACATCGAACATGACACATGGTTCAGTCTGCAGGCTCTAATCCCCTTTCTGTGGGTGCAGTCCATGAGGGAAAGATGGTAATTTGCTGAGCTGCTTAGATGTGGTATCATCAATAGTGTTATTTTTGATTTATGAAGGTAAATGCATTAAATTGACCACACACTGATCATGACTTTTTTTTTCCTCCAAAGTCTAGATTGTCTATGCTCCCCTGTATTTTAAGGAAAAACCTTTCCTCTTAGTGGAGGAGGTACATGAAGGTAAATGCATTAAATTGACCAAACACTGATCATGACTTTTTTTCCTCCGAAGTCTAGATACATGCTCCCCTATATTTAAGAAAAACCTTTCCTCCTAGTGGTGGAGGTACAAATCACGTAGGAGTCCGCAGAAATGAATCATGCCTGGCAAAGGTGGCAATCTGGCAGCTTTGTAGGTGTGTTTGCAACTTGTTTTGTCAATTTACTGTGCAATATCTTAATCGTCACCCGAAGATTCCTCAGTGCTAATCCAGTCAGACGAGGAGGAGGAGGCTGGTGCCCACAGTACCACGGTGTTTCCTTCAGGGAGAACTCCAAGCAAATGAGAGGCCACAAGAAAAGCAGGATGAGACCACGAGCGAGACCAGAGCAAGATGGCAGCAGATAAATGGTTACATTCTCACCTGCGCTGTCTTGGGCATCTCTGACTGCATTAATTTTGCTTATGGTGGAACCCAGGCTTCTTAAAATGGTGAGTACCATAACAAAGCTGCATTTTCCAAAATTGTTTGGCAAAGATCAGTATGGGAATTGAAGGAGACACTGAAACTGGTTTGTTTGCAATCTAAAATAAATCTAATTACTTGGCTATATTTATTTTGCATGTATTTCATTTTTATACTCCCTCCTATATTTGTGGAAATACCAAGTTATATTTATTATCCTCAGATCTTCTTGCTTATAGTTTTCTCATTGATCTCTAAATAGTGGGACCACTTCTTAAGAAGATCCAAACTTTTCCTGTAGTTAATATTATTCTAAAGATCACTTTTTCCTCATGTTTTCCAAATGTGAATCATTTAAAAATATAACTAATACTTCTCAAGCTTCTATATAAGCTTTAACTTCTCAAATGACCATATTAATGTAGAGAACTCTTTAAGGCTCCTATTGCAGAATTTTGACCAGATGATAACAATTTAAGTTACCAAATTACAATGGTTAAATGGTTAATGTTTAACCATTCAGCCATTCAAGTCATCAAAAAAAATAGTGTCTGTAATAAATAATAAATATTTTGTTTAAATAATAATGGAGTTAAATAACACCCTTGCAAGTCTACAGATATTCAGGGAAACTTTTAGTTGTATAATTGAATATGACAAACCGAATGTGAAGGCTTTTTTTTTTTTTGTACGGCAAAATTGTAATTTTGCAATTGTAATTTTCATGCAAGATATTTTTTCAGATAAAATTGGCAGAGAGACAAGAAAATATGCTTGAGGACTGAGTGCAGAAGGGATGATTTTTAGAGTTTTCCCAAAAAACCTCCATTTTAAACCAACAGAAGTGAACAGAATGACTTTGAACTTGAGGCTGCTTTACAGTAGCCAGTTTATAAATCACCTTTTTAAAATTAATTATAGGTTCACCTTTCTACTGTTTTAGGAAGAGGTTCTGTCCCCCAAGTCTTATCCCATGTAGCTGCTCATTCCCCTTTCTCCTCTTGAGACCTTTGCCCCTTGGGGGGCAATAGCCAAACCCGAGCTGAGTAGGAGAGCAGAGTAGGAAAACACATTTATTCCTCCCTAAAAAGGAGGCAAAAATAACAACCTAGTACTTCCATCACTGCCCTTCAAACAGCAATAATGCAAGTTGTCCTTCAGCTAGAGGACGATTTCCCAGCACAAAGTGTCAATTTGTTATAACCTCCAGTTGTGGCACCTGGAATTAACAACTCGGTTGCTCCTACAGATCTTTCTCAAATAAACACGTAGTGCCTGAAGTTGAACCAGGAGATCAGCCCTGCACTGTCTCTCTCTGTTGATGGCGTTAGATGAGTTTTATCTGCTTCATCTGAAGTACCATAACCTGGGGGAAAAAGAAGAGGGACACGGAGGAATAGGTACTTTCACATGGACTCATGTCCATACGTGCATGTTCTTTCCTTAAATGACGGAGTTAGTGCCACTTTGCTTGTTTTGCCTTAAATGTGTATTGCTGCATAGGGGTTATTTCAGCGTGCTCTTACAGTGCTGAGACTCTGGGTGGTTTCATGATGAGTCAAGCGACGCAACTAAACTAGATTAATGTTTCACTGGTGGATAGGTCATTATCTAAATAGGTCGTATATACCTGGACCTATCGCAGATTTTTACTTCCCTTAAAGATAACAGCCCTGGGTGGAGTTACGTCAGTGATTAGCAATTTGTATTCATTTTATATTTAATTATGAAACATGACGAGCTCAAGGGTTCACAGGTGTGTAATGGAATTAGGGCTGAGAATAAGCAATAAATAATTGTATATTTAAAATTTAAGTTGGAAGTCAGTACAATTCTTATGCAAAATTTCTTGATACTTCTGGGTTACCTCTTGTGATCTTCTATTTCTCTTATTATCAATTTTATTTCTTCAGAAGAGCTGTAAGTCCCTAACTTTGAAATCAGGAAGCCTTTTTACTAGAATTAGCAACTGTGCATGTTGCACTTTGATACCATCAGAGTTAGAATTTCCTGAATACATCTTTGTCCATCAATCCAGGGCTCCTATTTGAATATCCTCTGTGCCAATCAATACTTACCATAAAGAAATTCAAGTGGCTGCTATTAAAACGCAGATGTGACTAGCCTTGTCGTGTCTGCACCTCCTGAAATCCAGCTGTCGGCTTCCTTATGGTTTGTGGAGTTCTTTGGTTTGTTTGTGTTTTGTTTTGTTTTTTACCTAGAACATGGCTTAATCTACTAAAACATCCTGTGATTAAAGTTCAGTGTCTCTGCTGCAGCAGCTGTTGCTCTTGCCCTTGTAGTTGGCTCTGGGCATGGTTGGCATCTGCCAACAATCCGATGTCATGCAGCACATTACCCTTCCCTGTTTCCTTGCCTGGATCGTCTCCCCCCAGCTTGGATTCTTGTAACAAGCTGCATCTTGGGGTACTAAGCTTTAACCAAAGCCTTTTTTGTCTATCTCACATGGCATTTCTTGTCAGAGACTGCCTGAGGAGAGCAGTTGAATTAAACACTGTGCAGAAAACACTGCATTAGATCACTTGTGTCCACAGACCAAAGTCTTTTAATAAGCTATTTACCTTGCAGTTTGCACTTAACTATTATTGTGGTAGCTTCCAGTGTCGACCACACTTATTTAGGAAAAGGCTCACAACTCATTTCTATTTATCAGTAACGATCTAATAGATGTCAAATGTTTGAAGCCCAATAAGGACAGGCTTTGGAGGGTGTTCAGCTAGGGTGAAGGGTGTTACTAACAACAAGATGCTGGTCAAAAGGGAAACCAGAGGTGTCACCTTATGTAACTTCTCCCTCTTCCAGGGGAAAAGCAGGTGTCTGGCGATGGCTCTGAGGCCAGTCCACGGTCTGCTCCTTTGGGCTATGCTGTCCTTCCTGGCTGAGTCGCACAGAGTCCCCGGGGTGAGTCAGCCAATGAACTCAGGAACCACAAAAATCCTGCAAACCACAAAGCCCCCCAGATGTTCTCTTGCCTGACATGGAGGTCTGCAAGCTTAAACTGGTGCGGGCTTGGGGGCAAGAAACCACCGATTCACTAGTTTGTTGGGAATTGTCTCACCAAGAACTAGATGCTGGAATGGCTTGGGCAGCTCTGCTGGTTGAAGTCCTCTGTTGGCTCTCAGGGTAGAAAAGCTGGGCTGCTTGCAGGGAGAAAACTGGGCAGATCAAGGTCTCAGAAGGGGCTGAGGAGAAATTACTTCTGAGCACACCAACCAGCCTGACCCTTGGAGTGTTAGAAAACTGCTATTCGGCCTATACTAGCAAGCAATAACCATTAGGCTTCAAAGGCAACCAATAGGTAAGATTTAATTCAGGCTAACAGCATTTGCCTATCAAGAGTCAATCCTTAGCTTGTCTTGAAATAGATGATAAATCATTAGATCAAGCAGTGGCATCCAGGTGTGATCAGCCACTCTAGAAGAAGTCTGTCTGGCCTATACACCCGCCAAGCAACAGGCCCTGCATGCAGTAGGATGGTACTCCCAGCTCACCGAGTGGTTTTCCAGTCAAAAGGGGAGCAAAGCAGATGCTGATATTCTGTACTGCTGTAGTTTCATCTTCAGGCAAAGATGCAAAAAAAATCTTGTTCATCAATATAAAAATACTTTAGAGCTTAAGCCTAATAAAGGCTTGACTTTGTCTGCTGCTATGGTGGCATTTGTTATTCAGATACTCATTCACTTTGAAATTTCCTTCCTACTTTGTCCCAAGAGGTTCTTTTTTTCCCCTTCTTCTTCCTATACCTTTTTTCTCATTTTTAATATTCAATGTACACACTCCACTTTTCCTTATTTTATTTTTCAGGTTCTCACTAAGGAGCTAAAGATTGGTAATCCACAAGGTACAGTGAGTATTTCAGTGTCTTTTAATTGTTTTCAAGTGTTATCTGTGGCTGATGCTCACCCTTGTGGACTGTAGTATGCTTGGTGGACCTTAGAGCAATATCTGCTTGATTTATTTTCCAGATGGGTGCGTGAGCCTCATTCCCTGCAAAGATAACGGAGATGTTTGTGTTCAGCCTTGTTCTCCTTCCTTCCATGGGGAGACAAGATTTGTCTGCAAAGACAAAAAGTGGCAGATGTTCACAGATGCTTGTGCAAATCTGGATATTCGGTCACTTTTTCAGGTGATGTAACTGCTGTGCTGAGCAATGACCATAACTTCTTTCAAAGGCTCTCTCTCCCACCCCCATATCTTTTAAATCTAGCATACTAGTCAGCAGTTTGACTTTGTCTTAAATGTCATGGAACCTGGAAACTTCTATGTGGAAACATAGTTCAGAAATGAGGTTACCTTTTTGACTTCATCCTTTGCAGGGAAGTCAGCTGAGATAATGATATTCTAGGGTGAACCTGAGGAAGCAGCAAGACAAATTTGTGTAATAATTAGATGATTCATGGTAAATTCTCCCCATCTATAAAAACAAATAACTTTTAAAAAGTCATTTCAAGGATCAGACAAGACACTATGTTTAGTTCATCTTACATCTTCATCCATATATGTTATGCAGCCAAGTCATTTCTCTTAACTGATAAATAGCTCTTGATCTTTGGTTTCAAATCTTCTGGCACATCCATTGCACACTCTAACATTGTACAATGCATCTGGTGGCAGCAGTAGCCCCACAATCTCATTCTATTTGTTAATTCTCTCAATTTTTCTCCCTCCAGAGAATATCTGAACATGGACCCTTTCTAAATCCTGGAGAACACGTTAGCATTGCTGGAGGGCACCTCCCTTTTCTAGGGAAAGGAAGCCCAATGAAGCCTATAGATGGAGCCAAATATTCTGGTGCTGATGACCACAGGAATGAGAACTGCCAAGCTGATTTTTCATGCATTATTCCAGATATCTTGTCTTCACCAGCCATTCCAGGAAATATTGCTAATATAGTGGACTTGCTAAAGCAGATCTCCTTGGTCTTATCAGGAAATGTCAGTAGAGGAAAAATGCGGGTATGTTCTTCAAGGCTTCAAGTCCCTTCTATAGGCATTTCCAAGCTTGACAAAGCATCCATAGAATGTTTCTTTCTTGTAGATACTATCCAGTGAATTGCTGACTGAGCTTACAGGGAAATCATCTGGAAAGAGATTCCAAAGCAGAACATTTTTTGTTATCAGAGAATCTGACCTACTCATGGTAGAAATCGTCAGCTTCAGATGGAGTAGGAACTTGCTTTCCTTAAAAATAAAAATTTGCACCAACTCCTGTAAACATGGGAGAGTAGTGCAAGGAGGAATTCAATTTAAAGAATTTCCATTTTTAAAGAACACTGTAGAAAAGGCAGTCTTGGAGATGCTGTAGTAGTACCACGCCAATGTTGTCACGAGTTGCATGATGAAAGCAGAAACCTTCTCGGGTGAGCTCAGAAAGCAGAGAGGCAGAGGAAGAAATGCAGACTCTGGAATTAAATATAAGTGTCCTGACTTTTGCTTTAAGTCTAAGCACCTTTTGAGCATGATGTGAAGATGGAAGGAAAATTCTGGTGATGATGAGATGGTTGGGTGTGGACATGGGTCATGGGAACCTGTTCTTATTCTAAAGGGAACATACCCCTTTAACAACAACAACAACAAAAACTCTTTAACTGAGCCTTTCTAGAGAGTCTGCCATTGGAATAGTACAACTTGTTCTTTTTCACATCAAATATAACTTATTTTTTCTTGTCTGTTTCAGAGTTACAGCAGAATAGCAAACCATATTCTCAACAGCTCCATCATTTCCAACTGGGCCTTTGTAAGGAATAGAAATGCTAGTTCAGTATTACTGGACTCGGTGAACTTATTTGCTGGGAATCTTCTTCTAACAAATGGGTCAGAAAATATACAAGAGCAATTCATTTCTACAAAAGGCTACAGCATACATAAGAATACTACGGGAAAAAGCTTTGATTTTTCTATGGAGTTCAGTAACTCAGAAAATATCACTGGGCATGTGTTCATTCCAGAAGAAGAACTTCTGAACCTATCTAAAACTTCCAAAGCCATCAGCATTGCCTTTCCAACTCTTGGAGCTATCATGGAAACAAGCCATTTGGACCCTGTTTTTGTGAATGGGATGGTTTTGTCAGTGGCTCTGCCAGAGGAACTACAGCATATTTTGCTTGCCTTTGAAAAGGTCAATAAACTGGAGAGTGCCAGAGCCCGGTGTGTTGGCTGGCACTCTGCTGAGGGGAGATGGGATGACAGGGCATGCCAAATGAAGTCAGATGACGTCAGCAGTGTCATTTGCTTCTGCAAGTATCACCGCCGGACATTCAAATCCTTCTCCATTCTCATGTCACCTATCAAGTTACGAAATGCGGTGCTGGGTTACATTACGTGTGTGGGGTTAGGCCTCTCCATTTTCAGCTTGGCTCTGTGCCTCATCATTGAGATTGTGGTCTGGCACCACGTAACAAAAACGGAAATAACTTACATGCGCCATTTCTGTTTGGTGAACATCGCTACTTCACTTCTCATTGCTGACGTTCTGTTCATTTTAGCTGCTATTGTGCATGATACAGCCCGAAACCACCGGCTCTGTGTAGCTGCTACTTTTTTTCTTCACTTTTTCTATCTTGCCTTGTTTTTTTGGATGCTTAGCCTGGGACTTCTCATTCTGTATGGATTGTTGTTAGTTTTTTTTAAGATAACAAGATCTGTGCTCATGGCCGCAGCATTCTCCATTGGATATGGATGTCCTTTGGTCATATCTGTCCTCACTGTTGCTATTACTGAACCAAGAAATGGGTATTTACGGTCTGGAGCCTGCTGGCTCAATTGGTACGAGACCAAAGCCCTTTTGGCCTTTGTGATGCCTGCTCTGAGTATTATCGCTGTGAATCTGGTGGTGGTGATGGTGGTTGTGGTGAAGACGGGAAGGTCTGCTGTTGGAGAAGGTTGCAAGTCACAAGATTTGAGCAACATGATTCGAATTAGCAAGAATGTTGCCCTCTTGACGCCTGTTCTAGGCCTCACCTGGGGATTTGGATTAGCAACGATTTTTGATAAAAGCTCTCTCGCCTTCCATGTTACATTTGCTCTACTTAATGCCTTCCAGGTAAATGCGTGTAATAATCCATGCTTTACCTTTCCTGAGCTTGAGAAAAGGTAGCAGATCTAAGAGGGGTTGGTATCATGTAGTGTGCATGAAAAATGTGGTCTAAGCTTTTGTTTTAGCTTAACTATTTTATGTGATAGGCACACCAGACATCCTGCACTGACACAGTAGCACACGTACAGTGGAAATAAACCATTTGGTGTAAGCTCAGGGGTAGGAATTCAAATGTTTGATTATACTGAACACAAAATACCATGGTTAATGCCCATTAACTGCAAAAATACCCAAACCATGGTACTTGCACAAAAATATACACAAGATTCTCACTTACCATTGAAGATAATTTCATTCAACTCATCAATGTAGAAGTCAATGTTACCTGGCATACCGTTGTATGTCCAGATGTTCTTGGCTCTTCTTGGCTAATACTGCAATTAAGTGGGTTGAAAAAAAATCTGGTATGTAACTCATCAGTCCAGTTTGTAATGAGAATGGAATAAACATGGATTCATTCTTGACATTCCAAGAGAGTCTGTGTGACCTGGGGTGTACAAGCTCATTTTGAGCATTGCTGTTACCTAACTCATAGGTGATGAGATTTACTACACTAACAAACAAATTATTTAATCTCTCCTTTGGGTAATAGCAACCTAGAAGCATTTAAGAAATATCACACGTTTATGTTGTTTTTATTAATTCTTTTGCAATTTTCTAGGGTTTCTTCATTCTGTTGTTTGGGACACTTCTGGACAGAAAGGTACTTGGATCACTTAAACACCTATCCTTGGTTACTTGGTTTTATACAGTTTGAGAAACTGTTCCATTTAATTGTGTTTATCATGTGGTTTTTTTTTGTTTTTAACCTGCAGACAAGAGAAGCTTTAAGGATGAGCTGTCTTTCATCAAGGAGGAAATGTAGTCTAGCAAAGGTAATTTCTTTTTGCCCCCTTAAAAGCTTACAGAACTTTATGCCATCTTGTGACCTGCTCATTTGGAAATGGAGCAAGCAATTGATCTTGCATGGTTTAATATTTATCTAAGACGACTGCTTGCTATAGGACATAAAGATATCCTGAAGGTCTGCTGCAAATATTAAGTTACTAAATGCTAGAAAAGGCAATCTGTAGGTTTTTATGATCACCATCACATAACCTACAGCTGTTGTTATAAAAATAGCTCCTTTTTTTTGTCTTTATCGGTAAATATTAGAGCTGTTTAGAAAAAGAATATATATTATTTTTCTCATCTATAAAATAGAGATATCTTAAAGTTACTGAGCAAGGAACAGAATAAGTGCAGCACAATTCCACAGAATCCTAATGCATATAATCTGTTTATTCTCACAAAAATACGACTTTATGACACTCTCAGGCTGCTAGAGGGTTATTCTGTCTCCACCTCAATGTCTGTGATGCAAACCACTCAAAGCCCAGCCAGTATATCTGGTGCAGAGCAAAGCTGTGTACTCATGTTAGCCTGAATTTCTTAACTTTCTAAGCTAAGCTAACCAATCTTTCTAAGTTAACTAATCAGGGCAATTCATTAAAATATTTAAGCCTGGAGGAAATAATCGTGTTTCAACAGCTCCCTAAAAAATATTGAAGGAAGTGATGCACTGACATCATTGAGTTAGTATTTCCTCTCTCTGCTGGAAAACATTTGGCTGCTGTTAGGTTTCTTCTGTTACTAAAACTTAATGAATTTGGACTGTATTTACACAAGGAAATCACCTGAAACTATCTCAGAACAACTGGTTCTGGTGGTGCTCCTGCTCTCCACAGAAAGAAATTGTCAGCTCAGTTTGGACTTTAAATCAAAGTAATTTCCCTGCTTTCCTTCAGTCTATTCATTAGCTAGTCTTGGTACTATAGAGACGGCTTGCAGAGTTTCTTCAAATAAGAGTAAGTCTGGATGTCCTTGGCTTGTGAGGAGGAAAAAAATATAAGGCATAAGGGTATTATATAGAAAAGTAAATCCTTTCCCATAAAATCTTTATTTAGTATGTTTTTCATTTCTCTATGTCCTATGTGTAGAATTTAACCATTTTCCTTACTTCGACAGTTGTTTCTTTTTGTAACATCTAGTTTCTCAGCAATCATTTAGTCAAAAGATACATGTAGAGTTAACATGTTCCTTTCAATAACAAAGCTCTTGTTTACTTTTTTATGAACTGAAATTATTTCTGGAAAACAAGAGTGCGAAGGCTGAAAATCTGAATTTTCTGTCTCTTAAGCCAGTCTACCTAGCCTTCTAGCCAATTTGAGTATTGTACCATGTTAATGGTACAAGTCTCATTATTAATAAATTCAGAACTATTTTAAGGAGAAGTTCTCCACAATTTGAGACAATATAAACATATAACTTCAGCTTGATGTTATAGTACCTCTTTTTATCTTTTTTTTCTGCATAGAAGGATATTCTCTTCCCACAGAAATATTTGTGGTAGGTAAGAACTTCTAAACTTAAATACTGAAAGAAAGTTTTATTAGAAGAGTAAACCCATCTTGGTAAATATATCTAAAAATGTGTAAGGAAATATACATAGTTTGGAACAGATATTTACTTTAAAAGATGCAGCAAAAACTCTAAATCCAACATTCACATCAAATTTTATGAAAAATTCCTTAGCCTTACTTTCCTTGCTCTCAGAGATAAGCATGCTCTGTCAGAAAAACAAATTGAGGTGTAGGTGGTTTTACACTCAGTCTTGCTATTGGGAAAGTGAGGAATCTGTGTAGGTGAACATAAGTATTTTCTTTCTTATGAAAGACACCAAGCACTATTCAATGGAGAGCAAATATTATAGATAATGTTACTTATTTAGATTAAACCAAATTGTCTTTCTAATATTCACACATAGTATGAAATCTTGTTCTACAACTTTTCTGCTTTCTCATCTGGAAAGTTTAAATTCTGCTTAAGTCACCGGCAACCTAATGTTCTGGAAACAAAAGGTGAATGTATCACTAGTCCTGTGACTCAACAACATTAGCTAAAAATATCAGGTGATCACCCTGAGCAAAACTAGATACAAAAGCCATAAACGCATGTGGCTACGACTTTGGGATGAGGCTGTTGCTCAACCTGGGAGAACATATCACATGTAAATGTTCCCCGTTGCATAACAGAGGGAGAAAAATGTTTGTCATCCATTTGTGCTCTTGGGTGTAAATACAGAGCACAACTCATCAGAGCTGGGAAAGTTTGCCACACCTGAAACACATGGCATGGTTATTATATTGTATCTGAGAGCTTTGTAGTGGGACACAGATATGCCTACCTATTTGGACTTGTAAAGGCAGATGCTTAAGAAGTATTTAGAAGGAATGTGCAGAATCTTGTTTCAGGTCCTATAATTTTTCTAAACTCATAAGAATCTTTCTTATTTTTCAGACTTTAAGATTTACTATGTTTTTTTGAAGGATTTTCTGAGGTACATCTTGTCTGAAATGAGTCCTCCATCTATATGAATGAGGTATTTAATCCGACCAGAAAATTTCTTTTCTTCTAGTCCTAACTGCAGACGATGGTCTTCAATGGATCTGACTAATGAGAGGAAAAGGAGAAATACTCTTACACAGAAATCCTGGCATGAGATAAGCCTTACTGGCTGACCAGCTTGGAGCATGGACATCTTCGTCTTGGAGTGTGACCACGGGAAGCATCATGGAAACCAGAGGAGAAGTAGCCTTGAAGCTGCTGTCAGGAACAGGAAACCATCAGCGTGGTTGTAGCCCTTAGAGGAAGCACAGTGATACATAAGGGTTGTTTCTTAACTTGGAAGAAACAATTGTGTTGTCTTGTGCCATGCCAATGTTTCAAGTTATTTCTGTTCTTTCATATCAGTGTAGTAAGGAGCACAGCATGCGGGCTTGTTCTAAAACATAAAAGTATTCCATTTTAGGTGTGATATACAAATAATGATTATTGTCCAGCTACTAGATGGCTGTTCCTTATCACAAGAAATTATACGAAGTGGCACAGTAGTCATTAAGTTCCTATCTTACATTTAAGTGGACAGGATAATACGATTTCGGCAGCACAGCACTTCTCACTGCCTCGATACTTGTGTGTCACAGGAGCTGTACAACAACAACAACCCTTTTTTTTTGTCCTGAAACAAGATGATCAAGACCTTGGATAAATGCAGAAGAACACGCCTCAAATCCTCACAGCTGAATCAAAGCTTCAGGGTTGAATCACACAGTCGCCTATATCCCAGGCAAAGTATTAATCAAGGAATTGGTTAGCACAGATGAGATGGGTCTTTAGAAGACCCAAGATCCGAGAAGCCATTTCTAATGAAGCAGAAATACTATGGTGTCTTGTTGTGATAACTCAGTGTTTTCAAATGGGAAGTAAAGTTGTAATTTCCTCATTATTTCTGGGATGTGGTCCTTACCCTCCTGAGTTTGGAGAATTGCTTCATTATCAGAGTTTTCCTTTGAAACATACATGTGAGGAGGTACAAATGTGCCATTCAAGAGATTGATGGAGAGTGGGAATATGGGGTAGACTTGAGTGACAGTTTCAATACAGATAGCTAAACCAAGATTATGTCAAATCCAAGTCCAATGCCTTTTCTTACAAAAGACTTTCTCCGGTCACCCTTACCATCTGTTTTACTTATTCCTCTGCTCTGTGGAACATTAAAATATTTCAACATTTCATCCTTGCCATTTTCTGGAAATTTCATGGTTAATTGCTGCCATCATCTTGGAAACTGGGATTTTTTCCTTTGAAGTAAAAAAATATAGAAAAGCGATAATTTAGATTATTAGGGGATACTTTAAGTATCTTTCAGCTTAAAACTACTTTAAATACCTCCCATTGTTTTAAAGTTTGTAATATTTTGATTCCCTTCTGCTATTTTTTCCTTTTTTTTCTTTTTCTTTTTTTTTTTAATTTCGCTTAGATACACGACTAATACAGCAATATAACCACATCATAGATGTGGTAAGCAAATTAAGTATATCCCATCAAACATAAACATACTGGTTTATGTATTCAGCACTCCTTTCCTGAAGAGAGAGAAAAACACCCTGGAGGGTGGACTGTGGGGATGTTGAGAATGTGATAGTTAATAAGAAAAAAACACAAAGCCTAATATCCCAGAGGGAGAGAAGTTGTGAGTTGATAGATCTGGAGAGCAGAGAGGTCTGGCTTGTGTGTTGAGATGGCAGTTTGTGTCCCCAGGACTCTGTTGCTTCCTCACATTTTTCTGTCTTATCCCTTCTCTGCCTGGAGTTTAGTCTTATTATAAGAGACTATCTGCTCCCTTTTAGGGAGTATTTGTGCATTGGAGAATTTTGGAGATCAGATGGGACTCTAAACTGCTGTAATATAAATTTTAAAAAGACCATTACCCTGAGTCTCCTTAATGTCAAACGGCGTGTCACATCCTCTCTGCTGTCCCTGCAAGGTGTTTTCAATGGCATATTGAAGAATTATATACTTGATATATGCTTGTGGTAGAACTGTAGTCCTGATTAATGAATCTGTTTTAAAATGTTGTTCAAAAACTTGAGCAACTTAGAGTTGTCTGGTAAGCTGGGCTGTGTAATTAGCTAATGAATACCTGATTCAGAAACTCAAATTCTCCTATACCCTTCAGTAGGTAAAATGGACAATTTTTACCGGAGGCAATGAGATTAAATTACAGTCTAATTTATGGATAGCCCTACCTATGTGTAATGTCAGGTGAATATTTTTGCTAGATAGTATTTGACTTGTGTCCTTTGCAGCCATTAGCAATTGCACGGGTGGTCTCCTCTGAAAGAACAGGATCATGTTTTGCAGTCTGCAGCACAGAGTGAGCTATTACTTGCAGCAGGGTATGTTGGAACATGTTTAAGACCACCATCATTTTCCCTCATCCATTTTTTCAGGACTGCATATAAATCATCACACAAAAAAGCCAGATGAGTTATTTTATTGTTCATACTGAAATTCAATTATAATGTTTTTTGTTTGTTTTGTTTTGTTTTTGGCAGTACTTGAAGATTTCAGAGAATTTGCCTGAAACTCACACATTTCCCTTCTCTTTTTTTGGACACACACGCACATTAGAGTACAGTCTGATATAACTGCTTTTATAGACAGACTCAGATGAAGCTTCCTATGTCATAAACATTCACTCTAAAACCC